AGTTGAACTACACTCTAGCACAAATTTGGCACCGCCATGATACCAGGCAACGCGCATAGTTGGATGCCTTATGAAGGAAAGATCATCCCGTGGTTGTCGCAGGAAGCGTCAGGAGTCGAGGATGGGCTGGGGGGCCAAGTGGAGAAACGTAAATCGTCAAGCAGGTCGGGACACGGGAAGGCGCATCAATCAGCGGGAGTGCGCGGAGATCAGGAATCTAATCTTATCGTAGATCGCAATCTCGCGATGTCCTAATCACTTGCCTAACCAGAACGTCTTGCTCTGACGTTGCACTAGTGCTCGCCCTCGCCAACACCGTACTCCTTCATAGCCCACATATTTGTCTCAAATACACCACATAGTATCGCCGACAATGAACGGCACTTCTAAACCCAGTTCGTCCTCGACAGCACCGCAGAAGCCGCTGGACGCAGACATCGCGCTCCTGGCCTCGCTCCTCGCGCAGTCGGGAGACGAGGGTGACGTAGAGGGCTTGGAGCTACAGGAGCTCTTACAGCGGCTTGAGACGGCGGACGGCGTCGCACAGGGCGTCGAGCACCGTTTGGACGAGATTATTGGGAACTTGGATCAGATGCTCGGCGGATTAGAGGACGCGGGTGAGACAGGGCAGAAGAGAGAAGGACAGGGAGAGCAGGATAAGGCCGAAGGAGAGAAGGCGAAGTAAGACAACAAGGACAGCGTAGAAGAAAGGAGATCGTGAAGCTGCCTGCAGGTGATGTGACACTGTAATCCGACCAGGACCCTGCACTGATAGTGCTACCGCAGATATGCTTTGGACCCCTCATTCGCCACGCCGCGCCATTCTTAGGGTCCCCCGGCGTGTAGAACGTTGGGGAGGCAGCTGTTCATTGGGGACACGCCGGGTTCAGATACCCGACGTCGACATGTCGGTGGATACCTTTGACAGATGCGGTGCGTCGGACAATGACGACTTTCCGTTCGAGCAGATCGTCGTGCTGCAGTGGCGTGTAGCAATATGTCCTTCGGTGAGTGCTGCCACGCGGTAGTGTGTTCAAGACTTCACATACAAAATGTACATACTGAACTTGTTCGCCGCAGGCGGCACCTCAATGTATATCATACAACGTCCTGGTGGACAGAATATGCTCCTCCTTTCTGCCTTTGTAAAAATGACGAACGTGGTAGGATGGTCGTTCGAATTCCCACCGCGTAAAACGCCACATAGATCATTTGGGTTCATTTGGGATTGCTCGCTCTCCTTGAGGTTCCCTTCAAAATGTCAATGTTTCTCGAAGTCCCCGCGTCCGAGCATATCGTAGCGGGAGAATTATCTCTCACAGGTAGCGTGCATGCGTACGCTACTCTCAAATCGGAGTTATATCGCGAAGGTACGTCCTGTCCGACCAGTCCGCCTCGCGTGCTTCTCTTTTAACTAATTAAACAAAATGCAGCTTCTTGTCCCGCTGACCCACGTACGTTTATACTACTACAATGGTTCACCATTTTGAACATTTTAGTGGGCAGTGCTCCACCGAAGGTCATATCACAGCGTATCGACTCTATGCTTTATCATGAGAACTGCGTACACCAGCTTACCTCACACCGACCATCCAGCTTCTTTACCGCGCCCAAGCCGCTTCCAGGCTTGCTCAGCGTTATCGATGCCGTCATCCACATTGGCCGCCGTAACTTACACCGGGAACGTCGTCAACGCAGCTCCTGATGGTATCTGAAATGTCGACCGCGACCCGAACATAAATGTCACCGAAGAGGCAACGCTCCATTGTCGCGCTTCCGAAGCGACTATGCTGTGTTTTTTCGAGCCCAAGAGAAGCATGAGACGCTTCCGCATATCGGCTGTCACCGTGCGCCGATACGTTGGGGGCGTTGGGGCTGGGCTTTGTGGAATGGAATACTACAACGCGTCAAACACGCAACCGAACATCATTCGTTCCTATCGTACAGCGACATGAAAACCAGGCGAGAAATCGCATATATATATCTCATCGCGCTGGTATGCTCCACAGACACTATCTTCGTCCCACTCTTGACAACTTCAGCATCTTCAGGCTTTGTATATCGGTCATGCTTCCCCTCGCACATCTTCCCACAGGCTACTACCTCATAGCCTCGCATACGCACTCAAGCAAGGTCACCTACGCCGGTCGCCTCAGCTCCAGCTCCTCCAAGGCCGCAAAACGCGCTATGCCGCTACTGTCCGCATTCGACGAGGACGACGAGGACGACACGCTCGTACTCGCAGTGAACCGGAAGACCGCGGTCAGCTACTTCAAGGACAGCACAGATGACTGGGCGTTCCTTGAGCAGCTCGACGAGGAGTTGCCGCTGCGCACTAGCGCACCTAGCACGCCATCAACCACCGCCGTCGACTCCGAGAGCGACGTGGACAGTCCGCTCTCGCCCATCTTGGAGGGCAGCTCCGCACCGACGACACCGCTGCTCGTCACGGATTCCGCGCTCGAGTCGAGCGAGAGTGATGACGAGGAGGACACAGGCCGTGTGCGCTTCGCAAAGGACATGCGCAGTCTCGCGCGCCGCGCGAAGCATGCGAGGGGCCGCAAGGTCTTCGCTGTCCCCGGGGAACAGCCGCAGGTGGGTTTATGTTCGGGCTTTGGCGTAGTGTTTCGGTGTTGACAACTAGCGCACGCAGTGGCTCCTAGAGAAGCTCCCGAACGGCCGATACACTATCAAGACGCTCGGAGCGCCAACAGGCATCCGGGACGGCCTCTTGCTCGCATACGACGCGCACTTCGCGGCGCAGGCCGTCGAAGAGTGGGAGCTCCGCCCGCACGTTGTGCCTGGCCCCAAGGGGCGTGAGCGCGAGCGCGAGCTGGTGTACACGTGAGTCATCTCCGGCCCCATGCTATCACGCAAGAAAATTCTGAGAATGAGCACATAGTATCGAGTGGGCATCTGGCGGGGCTGGATGGGTGAGGCAGGGCGGGGCCGACGAGGAATTGGTGGGTGTTATGCTGTCACATTTTACGGCAAATATGCTGACGGCAACGATGATCTGTTTCAGATTTCTGTTGCGCCGATGTCGGGCCAAGTGCGTGAGGACGAGCTCTGGAAGATTGTGCCTGTCTCTATTGCTTAAGGACTCATACTCCAGAATTATGTATCTCTCTCTTCTCTCTCTTCTTGGTTACATGCATTTCCTTATTGCTCTCGCTAACCCACACTATCGCTCTCGTCTCGCTTGCTACACACGTAGATCATGGACTTTTTTGTACTTTTATCTTGTTTGTATGTTCAACAGATTTATAAAGAGTGCCAAGGTGCTATCTCTGCGTGCGCGCACTTATTGGGGATCGACACAGTCATCCAGTGCTCGTGGACTGGCCGGACGGTGGGCCTCTAGACTGAGTTGCAGCAGCTCGAGCATCGAGCCGGCCGGAGACATCATTGTGCAAGAATCAGCTAGCCACTAGCAACAACGCATCACAAAGGGAGAAAAAACGCTAGGAAGGAAGGGACGAGAAATGAAAAATGTCACGCCATACAATGAAGCACTGAGGGGGAATCCAACCTCCGTCGATAGCAACGACCCAGGTTGCCACTACTCATCAATGCGACAATGAACGTGCTCCTGTACGCGTCCGCAGACTGCTTTGCGTCTCTGGTGTCAAGCATCTTGAACGTACTCTGGACAAAACTTAATTTCTCTCCCCTCAACATCCGAAGTCTAAAACGTCGTGCATTACAGTACTTGATCTATGCATGCCACAGAGCAATAATCAAGGCTCGTACTAAGCTCGTACTCGACTCGTGCATCGTGACCCTGCAATTCTGACAAACACTAACGACTGCGACGAGGGAAGAAGATAGCATCTGAACATGGACTTTCCACCTTAGTCGACCTGCCTCCTCCTGAACAGCACTCGTGCGATATCACTCGGGTTGTTGGTTAGGCTCCTCGTCCGCAAGTTCTCGGGTCGGACATCCTCATACTCGGGTTTGACGTCGTAGTTTGCGACGATATATGCCAACATAGCTTTGAGTTCGTTAGAGACGAAGAACCGACCAGGGCTGGTGCGTACAGCAATCAACTTTACTGCATCAGAGTGCGACAAGGTAAGCCAACATATCAAGCGTGCCCGAACGTTACGTAGTCTGCGGACGTGGTAGTCAGCTGCGGCTGTACAGCTTTGTCACTCTTGTAAGACCGTAGTGGGTCGAATAGGGCCGCGTTCGGATAATTCCCCTCGTCGAAGTGTGTCGCAAACGTCGGCGTGACCACCGTCGTACCCTTGGGAAGGAACTTCCCGTCCGATAGCGTCACCGGCTGCAGGATGTTGCGGAACATCGATACTACGAGCTGTCAGCAGTGGGATAAGCAAGTGGGAGAAAAAACACGCATTAATGATCGGGCCGTTATGCCGCTCGCACTCGCGCAGGAAACTGTCGAACTTGCGCATCTTGTTTATGGCAACTTTCGTCCAGCCTTCTTCAGCCACAGCAGCTTCAACCTCTTCCCGGAGCGTATTGGCGAGCTCGGGACGCACAGAGATGTCGTACAAGGCTTGGAGTATGGCCTAAAATACACCTGGTTACTACTTCTGGCCCTACAATACTGAAGACTTACAGCCGAGGTCGTCGAAATAGCCCCGAAGTTGATAAACAGTACTATGCGCGCGACCTCTTCTGGTCCTTGATTCCGAGCCACAACTTCGTCAATAACCCACTGCAACAAATCATTTTGTGCTTAGGTCAGAAATAGCCTAGAACTGCGCCGCCAAAGTAACACGCCGGCTTGTCTGCCCAGTTCTTCCCAAACCTAGTCATTGTAGCCATCCGATCGTCAATAGCCGGCCGCAGGTAGTCGAGGCACTGTTGAACGCGCTTGTCGATGACTGTAGCCTTCCTACCGGCGACGCGCTTCATAAACCCGGGCAATATTGCGAGAAACTTCACAGCTTTGCCTACGTCCTCTTCGAAGTGTACCATCATGTGTACATAGCCACTGTCCCGACCTGAGTGCAATGCCTACCAGTGAGCCAACTCTTTTCAAAGCCCACATTGTGGAGTCCTTGAATTTTACCAGGCAATTATCAATACAGTGTTGGAGAGATAGACCGGAGTTGAACACGCTTTAAATAACTCAATCTGTGCATATCGAGGTTAGAAGCGCTTTGACAAGACTTGAGGAGAACCCACTACCTCGTTTGTGACCGCCACCGTATCTCAGTCTGGCACTACTGTAACTCATGACGCCGCAGCTGCGTCACAGGCTTGCAGTAGAGTATGATCCTAGATCCACGCCGTCGGTCTTCCCTCCAAGCTCGAGGCGAAACGAGATCATCATGAAAAGGTAGAAATCGATGTTGCTAGCCCGGTAGCTGGGGAGGCGCGGGAATAACATGCCCCAGGTGGACGAGTTGCCCCAAGGGGGTCTGCTGAAAGCAAGACCAGCGCCATGTGTAGCAATGTAATAATGTGTCTTCCCAGAAACGGTGCCCTACGATCGGAGGATTCGGAGCAGCCATGTAGCTCACCATTCCGATTCCCCTAGAATCGGGTTATGGACCGAACCGTGCACGCCCAAAAGTCACGTGACTATCAGCCATTGCACCCGAGCTTGCGCTAATGTGCCAGCCGGCGCCTATGAGTCTAATTCCCAAGGCACGAACAAACTTGTGTGCAGTAGGCTTGCGCCCGCCCCATCCGATTTCGCGAAGCTTTTTCCCAGACGTCGTTGCAAGCACGCAAGCGTGATACAATCCATTCGTACAGATTATATTGCCTATTATATATACTACATGATCAACCGTAATCAGTCTGCGACGGCTTTTCTTAGGGTACAGTTGCAGGACGAAATTTGCGTAAATTGACTATTGATCATACGGGAGCATGGGAAGGAGGTGTCAGCAGCGTCGCTTTGGGTAGATAATGCAGGTGAGGAAAACATTGTAACATATGATGAGGAATACTATGACCGTGCGTCTCCTTCGTCGTGTCAGAACTGGGCGATTACGTCATTGCCCTGTACGGACTGATGGGGATATCATCACATGATCCCTCTATTATCTTGTAGTAATATGACATCTGATTACTCATGCTTAGTATACATGCTTACGCTCACAGTACCATAGGTCTTATAGCGGTATCAGAGGTCCTGACTCACATGTATATATACTGGCCCTGTAGCACAGAATAAAGCAAGAGTTCAGTCGCACTTTAACAGGTTATGAGCCCCGGCCTCACGGCCACTCTACCCCCACTCTACTAGTCTCATTGCTGAAGAAGACCCCTCGGGAAACCTCGGTCCCCTTCACCCAGTTTAAACCAAGTTTATCCACACAGTTTACGAGTAAGTCTCGTTGCGTGCTAGTGGCAGACGGAGCGCTCACAGCGTTCATTCCTGCGTAATTTCTAGTGCCAAAGGATTTACCCGCTCATTCCCCTCATTCCGTTTTCCAGCGGTACAAGCACTCCGCCGGCTATGCACCCGCCTCCGGCAACGCCAACAACCCCGTCGAGACCGTCCCATACGGTAAACGCCACGGCAAAGAACTACGCCCGCCGACTCCAGCGCTCACTCTCCCGTTCCCCCCGAACTCACACGAGGGTAGGCGCCTACGTCGCGAACAGTTCCGCGAGCGCTACGCGACCGACAAGGCCGACTTCGAGCAGCGTCTAGCTGCACGCGAAATCCAACAGGCACGCGAACGGATCCTCGCCGGTCCGTCAAAGCCGACACTCGAGCAGCGTCTCGCTGCCATCCCACCGGCAACACATACACCGATCGCCCTGAAGCCGATACTCATCGACTTCGACAAACACACTCCTGCTGACCTCGTCCGCATCTTCACACAGAAGTTTGACGGCACGCTCAAACGCCTCGACGTCTTCGAGACTCTCGAGCTCGACGACTTCAACTCCGACCAAGTCCGCAATCTCCGCCGACTCATCGAGCAGCTCACGCGCATCAAGCGCTGCTTAGCGGATGTCTGCAACGTCGTCAAATACGAGGAGTGGCGCAAGTGGGAATTAGGGTGCAGAGAAATAGGGGATATCTCGTTCAGAGGGCTGCGCAAGAACAAAGCCCGGATTGTACAAGCGCTCAGTGCAGTTTACGTGAACGGATATTTTGACGCGGTTAGGTTTTACGAGAACAAGTAGATACTTTGTATACAACGCTATTGTAACAATCAGAAAGAAGTTCTACTTGGAAACCTGACTACTGTGTGTTTATCCTAAGCGACAACAAGCATCGTAGTTTAACTGGTTCCTTCGTCCAATCCCAACTCTATCCACCTCTCGGCTAAATCGGCTTAGCTGGGATAAGTGGTTCGCTCAACAGCGTTCACAATCACTACCTCTCAGGAGACAAATACGGTACCTGAAACCGTAGAGACAAAACAGGAAACCGTCGCAGAATTCAGACAGCGACTGAATATAATAGACGACATAGAGACAGACTGGGAAGCATTAACAGCACACGAACAACACGTCGAGGTGTTGTTAACCCCATACTACTTCAAATACGTCCAAGAACCACCGAGCTATCACGCTACAGCAGAGTTAACAAACCACGACAGCGATATAATCCATATCTTCTTTCCAACAAGCTCCGATACATATTTGGAACCATACGCTTGTTACCTCGACCAGGAAGACATTGCGGAAGATCTATATTATAGACCAATCAATCAGTCATACGATCTCGCATTCTTGGAAGAAGATTGGGAATCACTTCGAGCGACACGAGCCGAATCATACGAGCTCGATCTCAGTGAATTCTTTTATGACGTTGGTTTAACTCCAAAGGAACGTGAAACACTCTATGCATACACTCGCCTCCTCTTCGTACATGAAAACAATGTCATCCTCTTCTGACCCCACCAAGCTCGCCACATCTACCATCCCGCAATTCGACGGTACCAACTATAAAAAGTGGTCCGACGCGATCCGAGCCTTCCTGCGCTATCAGGGAGTCTGGTACTTGATCCAGGGATATGGTTCCACAGCAACCGTTCCTGTCCCTGGTCTTGCCAGACCAATAGCTGCAACAGGTACACCCACGGCTATGGAAATTCTAGCTCAAGCTGCATGGGATGAGAAAAACGACAAGGCGCTGGGCATTATCCAGCTCTACGTCGCTCAGAACCTTCGTCATCTCGTCGATGACAAGTTCTTGGCCCTGGACGCATGGACCGCGATCAAGGCCGGCTACGAGAAACCCGGAGCGGTAGGCGCATTCGTCGCCTTCCAGAAGCTATTCAATGCACAGCTTTCTGATAGCTCCGCGCTCGGCCCGCAACTCAACGCGCTCACAGAGCAGTCCAACCAGGTCAACGTGGCGGGAATAGAGGTCAAACCTCAGCTTCTTGCCCTGCTCATGATCAACGCTCTCTCCAAGTCGTACCAGACCATCACTGGTACAATTCTCACTACGCAAACTGATGTTACGCTGCTCACAGCGGCGCTCATCAAGTCCAAGATCGTCGAGGAGGAACAGCGCCGCGTCGCAAATCGCACTCAGATTGCGCGCGTCTCGAAGGCGCCTCTCCTTGACAAGAAATGTGAGAAGTGTGGTCGCAAGAATCACACGACGGAGCAGCACTGGGACACAAAGCCGGCGAATTCTGGCTCGAGTTCTGGTAACGGCAACAACACGCAGCAGCAGCAGCAGGGTGGCGGAAAGTGCAAAAAGGGAAAGGGAAAGGGCAAAGCGAAGGACAATACCGCAATGACCACGCAG